TGACTCGATGGCACATAACAACAAAACAACAACAATGGAATGTATGTTTAATAAACACAGAGTTATAAATTAAGGTATTCCTATTGATATGTGCTGTCAAATTGTCTGTGACTCATAGTGAATTTACGCACAATAGGCCTGCATCCTGTCCTATTGTGAGCCAATCTCACAGTCTCTGAACACCTATCCCCATTACCAATGTTACCATCTCATTCACAGTCTTCCTCTTGACTCTGTCCCTCCATCTGAAAGGAAAATTTTTTAAACACTGTCCTCACACCCAAGTATTTTAAGAACCTATACCTTTGATCTTGTGTGAATGTTTGTGTTCCAGGAACTAGCTGACCACAAACTGAACAAACAATTACTGGCAAAAACCATATTTTAACTAATGTCAGCAGCAGGTAACTGACCTAAAATTGAACTTCTCCTTTTCCAAAGAGCCAATGAGCTAATTCCACGCCAAAGAACCCCTAGACCTTGTATAAATTCCCTTGCTTTTTTGGGCTCTGGGTCCACTTCCCTGTCTCCTACATGAGATACAAGTCGTCCCAAAGCTTCTTCAATAAAGCCTCTTGTGATTGCAGCGAGTGGATCTGGTGTGAGTTGCTCGGGGTCGCGCCCGGTCTGGGAAAAGCCCTAATTTGGGGTCTTTCACATCCTTTTAAGTATGTCCTTCTCCAAGGACTCATTCTTTCTGGCAAAGATTTTGAAACTCTAGCTGATAGAGGAAGTGCAACCAAATTGCTCTTTAGAGACAAAGGTGGTGAAAAGGTGTCTCACATATTTAAGTCATGTTGATAGGAGAGACCAGTCCTTGAAAAAAAGATATACTAGGAAAGGTGGAGGTTTAAAGACAGAGAGGAAGACCACTGATAAGATGGATTGATACAGTAACTGTAACAATGACTTTGAGCATTTCAGAGATGGTGAGGATGGCACAGAATCACGTTCAGATCAAGTGTTTATAAGGTAGCTAAGAGTCATAGTTGACTCAAGTATGGCAGAAATGATTAGAATGCCATAGGATAGGGTAGGATTAAGATTCATCTTTCACAGTATTGCTATGAGTAGTAGTTGACACAACAGCATCTAACTACAAATATGGCGGAATATAGTGCATTTTAATAATTAAAATAAAACTTCCAAGAACTTAGTGGGGAAATTATACACTTAAACCTTGTCCATTTTCTACTGAACTGTTGGGAAAGAGGTAGAATTCAGTTAATGTGCTGAGAAGTAAATATTACATCAAGAACATGCTGTACAAATTACTGTGGCATCAGAACTCTTCATTTTAAATTATTTATATGGTTTAATTTGGTTTTGTCCTGGGGTGAGATGATATCTCATAGCTGTTTTAATTTTCATATCTCTTAGAGCTAGGGATTTTGAACATTTCTTCAAGTGTCTGAAGTGTCTGTTTATATCCTTGCCCATTTTTCAATTGAGTTGTTTACCTTTATCTTGTGGTGCTTGAGTATTCTATAAATTCTAGATATAAGTCCCTTATCAGACATGTCATTATCAAATCTTTTTCTCAGTCTGTGGCTTTCTTTTTTACTCTGTTGGAGAAATTTTTGGATGTAGAGGGATTTGGCTCTTAGAAGGTCCCATTTATCTATTTTACCCTCTCCTGTTCGTAGGTTTTTCAGAAAGCTTGGAAGACTGTTCATGTTGTGGATTAGTGCTTCTAGGTTTCTTCCAATCTTTTCTCTAATGAAGTTTATAGTCCTTGGTTTTAGTCCTAGGTACTTAATCCTCTTTGAGTTGTTTTTTGTCTATGATGTGAGGTTTGAGTCTTGTTTGAGTTTCCTGCACATGGTTTTCCAATTTGGCCAACACCATTTGTTAAAAAGGCTGTCATTCCCCACTTAACTGATTTCATCTTCGTGTCAAAAATCATTTGACCATAGGTAGATGAGCTTATTTCTGGGCTTTCAATTCTATTCCATTCGTCTGTGTGTCTGTCATTGTTCCAATACCATGCTGCCTTGACCAACATGGCAGTGTAGTAGGATTTAAAATCAGCAAGTGAGATACCTCCTACCCTATTTCTCTTTTTAAGGAGTGCTTTCCTTATTCAGGTTCTCTTTCCATTCCAAATGAAATTGAAGATTGCCTTTTCCATCTCGTTATAGAATGGAATTGGTATTTGTATAGGGCTTGCATTGAATGTGTAAATTGCCTTTGGTAGTATTGTCATTTCCACAGTATTGAGTCTTCCTATCCATGAGCAAATTATATTCTTCCATTTCTCCGTTTTGTTTCTTATAGTAATGTTTTGTAATTTTCTTTGAATAGATCCTTTGTGTTTCTAGTTAGATTTACTCCCAACTATTTAATCTTGTGATTAGCTATTGTGGATGGTATTGTTTTTCATAGCTCCTGTTCTGTATTCTCTTTGTCACTGTAGAGAAATCCAATTGATTTTTGTATGTTGGTTGATCTTGTATCCTGCCAATCTGCTGAATTAGTCAACTATGTCCA